GGGGGGGGGGGGTGAGGCAGAAGGAGAGGTGGAGATGTGATGGAAAGATGAAAAGACAGTCAGAAAAATACATCATTGCATAACTCTTCTCCTTCGAAAGAACTGCGTGTGAGTTTCAGCTTACACTGTGTGGCAGTGAAGATGAATTATTAAAACGTAATTAAAAGTTGAAAACATCACTTACTTAATAATAAACAAAAATATCCTGCTTATATTGCCCATACCACATAATATAACTACATCATTTCAATGTAATTGATGTAGAATATAACAACAAACCAACATACAATCATTTTTTTACCCAAAACCATTGCCTTAAAAGGTATTTTACACACTGGACTTATTTATATAGATTTACTTTGTTTATTTTTTATTTGTAGAATTCAAATCTGCTAACAGAGAAATAGACAAAAATGGTTTAGTGGATTTTGAGCCCTGAAAGTCCTGAAACTGGATATGTTATGTGCGTTAATATAATAACTTCCATATAATACTGTATGTACAGGTTATTATTTTATTTTTAGTGTATGTGTTATTGTCTTGTGAGAACAACATGTTTTGTTGTTATCTGGTTTGCAATACACATTGATCTTGTGTACGCAAAATAGTAACCTGTGCAAAACTTCCATATGTGGTGTGCACGTTATTGTTTTGTGGGAACAAGATAATCCACAAGAAAGATTAAAAAATCTTTGAGAACTTTGGTGGCTTTCCAAGAAACAATTAAGTAAGGACTTCAAATGCCTCCCCCCCGTGTGTGTGTGTGTGTGTGTGTGTGTGTGTGTGTGTGTGTGTGTGTGTGTGTGTGTGTGTGTGTGTGTGTGTGTGTGTGTGTGTGTGTGTGTGTGTGTGTGTTAACCTCTTTGCCATTTTTCTGTATTAACAAGGAGGGAACTCAATCAGCGCTCTGATTGGCTGAATGCCGTCCCAGCAAAGTGTCTCTGTTGGCATGTAAAGCTCCTATTTATGGACCGGAGTAGATTAGTCTAGCTTTAAAAACAACTAAATATGAATAAAGGATTGTATCTGATGTCTAAAATACCAGTGAAGAATGCATGTGTGACTGGCTGTGTGAGTGACAGCTCCTCTCATCCAATGGGAGACCCCCGCTTAAGCCCTCCTTCCCCTGCCCTCCTATCAGATCCTTGTGCATGTCCTTCCAGTATATCCTTCCAAACTTGGACTGTTATTTTCTGTAAAATTTGTACTTTTGAACAAAACTATTATCAAAGTGACTAATATAACTCTAATGTGTACGTTTAATGTTAGCAATAAATATATCAGTAAAGGAATATATTTGATATTTAAATACAGTGAAAATATAACGTGATTAAACAACAATGATGATGGATAGAGGTTGTGTTTTAAAAGCAATATTATTCTGACAAAAAATGAGTGCCATAAATCCTTTTTCGGTTTGTTTGACTTGGTTTCAGTCCTCTGCCTCATCGTTGTTTGTTCCAGTCACCAGTACTGTACGTCTTGAAGGCTTCTCTTCCCATGTCTCTGTGTATCATGAATGCTGACTTGGTTAAGCTATAGCAACAGAAATAAAGACACCCTGCTGCTTCTGTCCACACTGAGCTGTTATTGAGTCCAGCATGCACCAACAGCTGTGTCATTTTCTGAAAAAAGGCGAAACAAATATGTAAATCAATAAAGAATCATGGTAATTAGATACCATGATACCAAGATACCATGTCAACATTATGGGATAATTATGGGACTTGCCATGACTATTTTTATTTTTATCATCAATTATGAACCAGTTTTGTAGACCCCAAGGGACACATGAGAGGAAAAAGAGAAGCTCGTGTTTCCAGACATAATGTAAGATTTTCCTTTACTCAGGATGTTGGTTTCATGCTGCCCCCTAGTGCATTTTCTCTGTACCTAGAGCAACTTCGTTCGGAATGTTGTATTGTATTAAACCCTGCACTGATTATCGGCTTATCCACATTTCCTAAAAACCCAATTCTCTCCCCACAATGGCCTCAGATCGATGATTATGTGTTTTGTAGTCATACACATACATGACCCCCTCCCCTCTTTACTTATAAGAGTAAAATACTATTTCCTTCCTTGGTTTATAGCCAATTATACACTTTTATACATATTTCTTAAAGGTAGGGTATATAGGTAAGAATGGAGAAACCAGCGGATGACACGGATGACATTTTTTAATGTATTTTTTGTAGGGCAGTACCGAATGGGAAATTCTTGGCCGAAACCGATACCGAAAATAGGAAACGGTTGGCCGAAAACCGAATGCCGAAAATGATTAATAGAAATATATATATATATATATATAATAGGGGTGCACCGAATGGGAAATTCTTGGCCGAAACCGATACCGAAAATAGGAAACAGTTGGCCGAAAACCGAATGCCGAAAGGCCGAAAATGATTAATAGAAATATATATATATATATAATGTTTACATTTTTTACCAATGTTGTTCAGCTGCCTGATTATGGAAAAATAAATGATTATGGCAAAACTTAACTTAAATAATAATCACTATTATGGGTCCATAAAACATTCTATTCCAGCACCTTTTCCGCAAGCATCACAGTAATTAATCCTCAGTCAGTGCATTTTCCTTTTCTCTGTAGGAACCCACTACCCCACGCCCACTTCCCAACAACCGCCCCAGGTCGCTTAAACTGCATAAAACTTACGCCACGCTAGGTACAACAACACAAGCTAGCGTAAAGTAAAGACTAGCTACCGCCAGCAGCCTCAACAACAACAAATGCCCTAAATCACCAGGCCGCGCTCGCGCACCGCGCGCCCACGCGCAACTGTGCGCAAACTGGATAAATCCACATGATGTAACCGTATTTACAAATGAAATTAACAATTGAATTTCAAGAATCTGTAAACTCACACGCGCTGTCTGTCCTCATGCACAAGTAAGTACACATGTATACCCAGACTACACTCACAGTCCGCACCTCGGATAACAATCCACAACTGCAACGCCGTTCTTTGACGGCCGCCTGTAAGACCACCGCTAACAAATCTAACAATCTATTATCTTTATTCTATCCTTTCTTATTTCATTAATCAACCACCACTCAATTCAGCAATTCAAAAATCTGCAACATACAGGTGGTCTGCTCTCCATCCGAGGGCAAATCCGAAACAAAGCATTGTATCCATTTCCGATACGAAAGTCAAATATATTGAACACCTCGTGCTGCTCGTCATTTCCACTATGACTCAACTCGAGATGCGTGACATTCATAGACTCACAATGAAAATCTGTTCCAGAGAAAGCTGGGTATAGACGTAGAACATGTAGGCAACTACGATAAAGCTATATGATAACCCAGGCTGGTCTAAGCTTATTAAGGAAAAGTGGCAGGTTCTTTTTAATGAACATTAGGGCTCTTCTCTGCTTATCCAGCCATAAATCTGTTCCTCTTCTCATGCAGCACACTGAGACGCGCAGCGCTGGAAGCAGCTCTCTCGGGCTGTTCAGTGCTTGTGATTTGATCATACTCCGCATTTGTCCCGGGTGTTTTGATTTCATGTGGCTGGGAGTAATCCCGAAAGTGGTGAAAGATCTTTGCAGTTAGCACCCCTCCGAGCGAAATGTCAGCCCTGCGCTACAATCAGCAAATCCGCGCTCTTTTCTCTGATATTTTGAAATATCTCCAAGCGCCAGAGCATGTTGGCTGTGAGCCAGCCGCGAGCATGGTCGCGCGCCGTGCTTGCGGGCCGCGTTTTGATTACGTTCATCACAACAACACAACACGTTAGCTTACCACGTAACCCTGGTTCTCTGACATTCGGCTGATGATTTTTTCGTGGCTAGAAACCTTTTCGGCGCCAAGAAGCCGAAAGGGCCTTTTTAACGCATTTTCGGCTATAACTTTTCGGCGGCCGGACATATTCGTTGCATCCCTTTAATTTTTTGTCAAAAGCATATATAATATTATTCATGGCAATCAGGAACAAGAATGCTCAAAGCATTCCGGAAATATAACAAAAAGTGTTTCTGAAGAGTTGCAATTACCTAACCCACCACATTAAGCCTTGAAGTTTTCGACTTATTTTTTCTTTTCCATCAACAAA